GTATTTGTACTACAAAACTATTAACATGGTTATAGCAGATGCAAACATTACAGACTGAGTCACTCACAGTCAGTTGTTTTATTAAAAACATCTTCAAAACCTTTTTTTAGACCTTCCAGTGTTTCCCCTAGAGGACTGGCTTTGGGAGGGCTGCTTATAAAAACAAAATGATCAACAGGAGCAGCTTTGTTTTGAAAATCTACAATTTGCATCAATTGAATCTTGTATATTCTATCTCGTATCTAAATATACATTTAAGATATCTTGAACTGGAATCTCCCTATAACTTAATGATAAATCTGACGTTATTTATACTAGTCAGAATATAATTAGAGATATCTTAAATAGGTGTTTTGAATTGTCAAAATATATTAAGAGATGTCTATTTATTTGTTTGTTTCTTTCATTCATAAAAACAAAACAATCTATGTACACCATTTAAAAAAAAAAGTAAATCCTTCCCTGAGTTAAAGGGTGCAGAGTGAAGAAAAAAACGCTATCATATGTGCCTCTTATTTTTAAAAATCAACTTCAACAAACAAGCAAGCTCAGGCTGGAAAGATCTCCAAGTTTGAAAAATAAGTAAATAAAACAAAACAAAATAATAAAAGAAAACATTTTATTATTTATCCTAAATAACTAATATGTCTAATCTAGTCATAAAACAATTTCAGATAAGTGGAATGTAAGCGTGGAGAAGCCAAATAAATGCAATATCGGCCTGCCATACAGTGAGCCTGTTGAACTGACCCTCTGCTGCTCTGCGCTCTCAGAGCACAAGCTGACATTAGCAAGATAACGTCCACATATTTTTATCCTCTCTGTGGGTAACAATACATAAAAAACAAGTTTTTTTTTTTCTCTGACAACTTGCGTGTGAAAAAAACTACGGTTGTTAAAGCTTCGCTCTGCGCGACGTGCAGCAGGAGGGAAGGAGGAAATGATCCTGCGAAACGACGGCAAGACGTAACTTTTCTACAGGGGAGGGGGAAATTTTGAGGATTTATTCTCTCTATACGTGCCTTAGAACGCTATATTTCTTCATTTATTTTCAGAATATTTAGAATAAATGGCCATATTAAAAAAAATGACAGAAATTGTTTACCTGCCCGGTCGGACAGGCATTGGGACACACCCACCTGCCCGAGTTTTACCTGCCCCGGGGCAGTTGGGCAGTAGGATTTGTCGAACCCTGTTTTAAGGGTTTTAAGGTTGTTGAAGATGACTTTACTTTCAGTGAGAAAAAATGTTTCTAAATAATTACTGAAATACCAGAAGTCCTAGCTGGAATGTCCTGAAGCAGCTGAACATTTTGATGAATACATTTTTGGAATTGCACAAAGATTGCCTGACGAGATGCATGCTGAAAACCACATGCAAGAAAGAAAAGGATCTGAATAGTGTGAATTATTGATAATCACAGAGTAAATTCTGTTAATCATGTGACGTAGCCGYTCTTTTTGCTGAATATCCATAACATCTATTTCCTCAGCTTCTACCAGCAACGGCTCTGGTCTAACTGATGCTGCTGACGACCAGTCGGACTCGAGGCCCTTGACACTTGCAGACTTAAGATCACCAGYGTCATTAGACAGAAATTCCACATCAGCTTCCGGCTCTGCAGCAGCCACCAGGCCGCCAACCAGCACCGTCMCCCCTGCAGGTCCTCCCAGAGTACCAGCCGTCACCACCGGACCTTTGCCCCCTGGGTTTGTTATTTATTTTCTAGTTTTTGAAGAAGTTGTTAAAATGAGCTTCATCGACAGAAACTACAGGAAGGGAAAAGTTAATGGATCCGAAGTCAAACAGAACTGCATCAATACGGAACCCCTTTGTGCTGTTTTAGGAGAGTAAAATACCAAGTCAGCTGAGAACAGGTATGAAGTACCAACAAGCTGCAGCATGGATCCATGCTTGTCAGTATTTATGAGAGGTTGGAGTTTTACTGATTTAGTTTTGGAAAACTGCACAGATCTGTTTAAACATGGATTTCAGCTGTGAGTTCATCACATTTTAGGTTTACTTTGTTTTGATCTTTTCTCTTGTCTTTGTTTTTGATCAAAATTCAGTGTTTTATTCTTTTAATATTGCTTTGGTGTTTAGAATTTTCCTGGTTTTTTATTATTATAGGAGTGTTGTGTTAAGTTTTAGACTGGATAGCTTAAAAAAACTGACTTTCAAATGTTTGTTATTGTCCTTTGTAGGTGGGAGCAGAGGGTGGATCAGAACGGCCGGCTGTATTATGTTGACCATGTGGAAAAGAGAACAACATGGGAACGTCCAGAATCACTTCCTGCTGGGTAAAACATCCTTTTTCTTACATTTTTAATAGAAGATGGTAGAGCTGGGCGATATGAGCAAAATTTTATATCACAGTATTTTCAACATTTTCACTGGTTTCACGGTATTTGACGATATTTTTCTTTTCATCACAGCTCAGTTGATAATAAAATGTACAAACCCTGCTTATTGACTTTTTTTCTTTTACTGTACCTCTGTCTGTGTCTCTGTTTCCCTCCTCTGTGTCTGTTCTTCTCTGACTGGTGGTTGGAGACAGTAGTCACACATTTTGGTCCAGTCGTAAAGGAGGAGGGTTAAGAAAAGATTATGATCTGGTTTTATTGTTTTATGTTATTTATTAAAGCTTATCAGCACGACTCACCTTGCACACCAGTCAATTCCAACTCCACTACGAACTACTTCCTGCAGGCTTTTCACAATAGAACCACGTTAAGTCTCCATCAGCATAACGTCTTCATATTAACTAACCGCGTTAAATCTAACTGTGCACGTCACTGAAGAGGTGTTTACTACGTTCAGCGACGGCGAAAACAGGATGTTTTTTTTAAACGTCAGTCAATATAAGCAGTGGAATCACCACCCACGGCTGCAACTAGCTGCTCCAAACATTAGCATGCTAACGCACATAGCGGTGCAGCAAGGAAAAATGTCCCCCGGGAAACAACTGTTCACTGGCGGCTGCGACGAAACGTTCCGCTATTTAAACCGGAATGTCCGGTATTCAAAAAATTCATAACAAAAATAAAAACCGGTATTCGGTACAAAACGGTGTACCGCCCAGCACTAGAAGATGGAATTAAAGGAACTTGTTCATTTTTAAATCTGATTACTGTCAAGACTCAAAACATTTCTCACATATTGATGAGCTGAAAGGCAAAGTTAATATTATAAAACGTTTTAATCTCTACCTCACAATCTGACTCTGGAGCGAGCGTCAGATGATGAGTGGATGATTTAATCTCCCTAATAATTTTTATTTTATTGTCAGGGATGTTTAAAATTTTAAAAAGAAGATTTAAGTTGTCAGTTACTATTCTGTTAGCTGGTTTAAGAGGCAGTTAAAAAAATTCAGGTTTCTAAATTCTTTAAAATACAAGTCAAAATAGTGTCAGATTAATTCCAGTTTTCTTCATTAATACAGAAACTCTGATGTACTTTTACTTTTATACTTTTCTAGTCTTCCAGGAATTAGGGCTGCATATTGTGTTAAATAGTTGCTGCAGTATCATTTAGCACTAGATGAGTTTTGTAAAGGACTGCAATAAATCATAGATACTTATATTTTTAAGTACCACACATTTTTATTCTGCATGCTGATATATTATTCAGTCAATCAAATGAATTGTCAGTGGCCTTGATGGAAGGGGAAGTGAGGAAAATACATCTTTCGTTCAATTTGAAACAATAATATTCGGACATTGCATGTTTTATAGTTTAGCCCTGCCAGAAATCGTTGTTTTGCACTTCTGTGTCCACAGATGGGAGCGTCGCGTCGACCAGTCGGGTCGCGTCTACTTCGTGGATCACATCACTCGAACCACCACGTGGCAGCGCCCCACGATGGAGACGGTGCGGAACTACGAGCAGTGGCAGCACCAGCGCAGCCAGCTGCAGGGCGCCATGCAGCAGTTCAACCAGAGGTTCATTTACGGGGTAAGACTTCCTCCTCGACATGTGACGCTGAATGCTAACGTGGGCGTTATTAAAATGGAAAACGGTGACTAAAATGGAAAATAAAAAGGCCTTTTGGGTTTCCTGTTTGTCACATAAAGCAGAAGTGCTTCCTACATTAGGATTGTTGTATTAAAACGATGCAAATCTTGTGTGTAACGATGCCAACTGCATAGACTCTATACCCAAGCAGAAACGTTCAGAGATAAACCTTGTAACTGTTGTGTATTAGGATTTTGATCATACAAATACCTCTAAAATTCAGTACAAAAGTCTTGAAACTACTTTGTGTTTTTGCAGATAAGTTAATTAACAGCAGTTCAGTAACAGCTGAGTAAAACAAGAGCATAAAGACTGTTTGGAAGTAAGAGTGGTAAGTGGTTTACCACAACAGTGGAAGAATTTGAAAATAACATTTCGGAACATCAAGCTGAAAGCAATTATGGCCTTTTAACGTTTTACAGATTTACCAGTGCACATTGTCATTAACATACTTCAAGACTTTTTCAAAGGAATTCCTGCCGGTAAAATAACAATATGAGCAGAAATATTGAGTAACTATGATTTTTAGTGCATCAAGCAGCATGCCATTAAAAAAATAGTAAACCTCTGCATTTCTGCAAAGCACTAAACAGATGACAGTTCACTGCATTTATAGAGTGAACCAAAACTTTGAGTCAATAAAACGCATCCAGAAATTCTCTGGGGAAGAGATCAGCAATGTGGAAAATGTCCTAAATTGCAGGAGGTGGTAGGATTCTCCTTTTTTAGTTTTGGAGTCCCAAATGTTTGTCTACTTGATGGAAAGAAAAAAAAAAACAGATCATGAAACCCCAAAAATATGCTTTTATTCAAAAAGCTAAAAATTTTTTATTTTATTTAAATGGCATCAATAAAAATATCCAGTGCTCATTTTATATCCTCAAATAAAAGTCTTGTTTTATAGGATTGTCTCTGCCAGTGTTTACATACTTCCCTTTGGTCTTTAAAACAGACTGGAATGATTTTCTCTTTCTTTTTAGTCTAAAATGTCAGCATTTTATTTCCCACCATAATCTAAAAATCACCCAACAATCCGCCTTTCCTCACACATAGTCTTCCTTTTCCCTCTTTCCTTTACAGATGTGTTTTCTTTCAGATAATGCATCTGCAAGTTTTTAATCTTTTCATCTTCTTAACATTTTAAAGCCGTTGACACTTCATAAAAGTAGCATAAGAGAAAAGCCGTCCCTTTCTTGGGCTTTGTTTTAATAACTAAAATGACCATCTGTGTAGGTTCAAGATCAGGCCTCCGCTAATCCCAATAAGGAGTTTGATCCTCTCGGGCCTCTGCCGCATGGTTGGGGTAAGATCATTTGGATTTTTTTTATTTAATTATACAAGCTTCTGATGCATTAGCAATTTCACTTTCAGCAATAGATTTCAGTGTTTAAAATAAAACCCTTTTCATTTCAGTTCATGACTGTCGTAATAATTACAAACATCCTAACAATTTGAAACATTTCCAGATATTTAAACAGTGCAGTTTTTTTAATATATTATGTTGTGCATTAAAAGAAAAACACATGATGATGAGAAATGTCATGTCTGTTTACTCACCATGAACAATGTGTTCTGTTTTTCCTGTGCTCTGCTGTTCAACAGTCGAACAGTCAGAAGTTTGGAAATGCCACAGTAAATATTAAAACATAATAACATATTTTATTGTGTTTTTTTTCCCAGAAAAAAGGACAGACAGTAATGGCAGAGTTTATTTTGTACATCACCCAACACGTTCAACACAGTGGGAGGACCCGCGAACTCAGGGGTTAGTTTCCGTTCCTTTTTTTTTTTTTTTTTAAATTTTCAAAAACATGTCTGTGAACAAATGTTGGTTTTATCTATTTCCTCAGATTGTTGAATGAGAAGCCTCTTCCAGAAGGCTGGGAGATGAGGTTCACCGTCGACGGTATTCCTTATTTTGTGGACCACAACAGGAAAACCACCACCTACATCGACCCTCGCACCGGGAAGTCCTCTCTGTACGTTTTTTTTTTTTTTCATCTATTTTCTGCTTCACAAAAACACTGGGACAGTATTACTACAGTATTATTAGAACGTTAATTCCAAGAACCCTGTTGTGTTTTTATAAACAGAAAAAGGTTTCCTTTCAATCTGGGTTCAAACAGAACACATTTATTGCAACTAGACACAAATACAAACATGCTTGTTATATTTGATTTATTTGTGTGTTGTTTTTTTTTCTTGGCACATACAGAGATCCCAACACTCTTCAGTTTGTATAACTTTCTTATAAGTAACCTCGATCACCTGTAATAATCTGTTCATATGTTCTATATTTAGCACCTCCACATGCCAGGAAACAATGACTAATTGTTTTTTCTGTCTAGAGAATTACATTTTTATTAAAGTTAACCTGTAAAGTTTTAATTAAAATGCATTTAACTGAAGCAGTTGTGCTGATAACAGAAAGCACTGAGGTGGTGACGCTTTTTTTTTTTTGGTTCATTTGATTTTTTTAGAGCGCATTCTCCTAAGTGAGTCACGAGGAAACCCTCAGTAGTCCTTTTGGTTTTTGTCATTTTCAGCCGCCGTCTAACTTGTGAGCGTTACCTAGCTGTTATTACGTAGGTGAATTTCATGTGGTGGAAAAACCGGTTCGGTAAAGAAACATCGCAACAAATACAAGAACTGTGACTTCCTGCACCGTGTTTACACTTCTGCAGAGGCTGTTGTGTCGTAAAAAGAATCACAGCTTCTAAACTTAATTGAATTATAAATAAACGTGTCTGATTGTGACATTATCAGCAGCAGAGGTGACATATTAAAGGCAAAATATAACCGCTCAAAGTAAGAGTGCGTTGTAGTTTTGACCACATTTCTCTCTTTCTGACCACAGTGAAAATGGACCACAGATCACCTACGTTCGAGACTTCAAAGCTAAAGTTCAGTACTTCAGATTCTGGTGTCAGGTGAGTCAGACCCTCAGGATGAAGTAAACACAGAGGACAGTACATCTGCATGCATTTTTTTTTCATTGAATATTTGACATTTATTTGGTTTATACTTTTACAATAAGGCAAACGTGTTTGTTTAACCCCAGTGTAATACAAATACTGTAAAGTGATTCAGCTTCGAGTCATTTGATCTCAGTATTAGGAGTAATCTTTCCTGTTCCTCATCTATACTCTGTGTGTGTGTGTGTGTGTGTGTGTGTGTGTGTGTGTGTGTGTGTGTGTGTGTG